CGCCCCTGCACACACACACATACACACTCCCTGTCTCACACACTCCTCCCCACCCCTCACACTTCAGTTTAAAAGCCGCTGGCAATCTAGTAGGATACCCATGGAACAATGGACTTGAAAAACTTGCATCATGTGACACTGTACCTGCCACATGAGGCATTGCAAACCCTTCCCAAAGCACCCTGCGGCCAGTTGCACAGTGCACCGCTCTATAATAATATATGGAGATATCCTATCTCCTAGAACTGGAAGGGACCCTAAATGGTCATTGAGTCAAGCCCCCTGCCTTCACTAGCAGGATCAAGTACTGATTTTGCCTCAGATCCCTAAGTGGCCCCCTCAAGGATTGAACTCATAACCCTGGGTTTAGCAGGCCAATGCTCAAACCACTGAGCTATCCCTCCCCCCACAGCTCTCTATGTTGATGCAAGAGCTCCTAGTGTGGACATGCTCTGCTGGCACAAGGAGTATAGTGTGGACTTGCAAAGTGCTTTAATTAAAATGGCATAACTTTTTGGCGACAAATCTCTGCAGTGTAGACATAGCCTAAGACTGTAACATTTGTGTGTGTATGTTGACCTGCTTTAACCTTGTAAATAACTCATTTCTTTTTCCTAGTTAATAAACCTTTAGTTTGTTTATTATAGGATTGGCTACTAGCGTTGTCTTTGGTGTGAGTTCTAAGGTGCAATTGACCTGGGATAAGTGACTGGTCCTTTGGGATTGGGAGTAACCTGAATATTGTTGTGATTTTTTTGGTGTAAAGGACCATCTATATCACGTATCTTATTTCAACTTACCTTCCGGCGCGGGATCGACGGCCGCGGCTCCCCTGTCGACTCCGCTTCCGCCTCTCGCCCTGGTGGAGTTCCAGAGTCGACGGGGAGCACAGCGGGGATTGATTTATCACGTCTAGATGAGATGCGATAAATCGATTGCTACCTGCCGATCCGGCGGGTAGCGTGGACCTACCCTTAGTTGATTAAATCTAACCATAGAACCCACATCCAGTTTGGGGTTTGTGCCCTGGTTTGTAACAGTCTGCCCCTGAGATTGGCATTCACAATCGGAAGTGACTCCAGACAGTGGGACAGCCACTCCAGAACTGGTCTCACCAATGCCAAGTACAGAATACTCCTATTCCTGTTTATACAGCCAAGAACCTCATTGGCCCTTTCTGCCACAGCATTGTCCTGGGATCTCACGTTTCATGGCTTGTCCACTATAACCCCTAAATCCTTTCAGAGTCGCTGATTTCCAGGAGACAACTCCCCCATTCTGTAGGTTTAAGCAAAATTGCTCGAAGGCGGACTTATTCTGGAATAAAAAAGTGTCCACACGGGGCGTGATAGCAGTATAACTATGGCAGTTTAATTAGACTTTCAGGCCAGACAAGCCTTAAGTGATTTGCTATTATCCCCATTACACAGGTTGGGAGCGGAGGCACAAAGAGAATAAAAGGTCAGATTTTTAAAGCTATCTAGGCACCTAAAGATACAGACAGACACCTAGTGGGGTTTTCAGAAAGCATATATGCACCCAACTCCCATTGACATCAATGGGACCATACTGCCTCTCTATGTAGACGTAGGCAGTACATTCACCTAGTCTTCATTTTGTTTTTATTTAGATTTAGACACCTCAAAAGCACTTGCCCAAGGCTCTAGGTGCTTTGACAAAGCTTATACACACTACGTGCCCAAAAATAACAAAGCAAGAGCAAATTCCATTCCACATGAAAAAATAAAACCCAGTCAGTGAGAGATCAAATCCTCACCTCTACAGCGGTCCCCACCTCCGCACTAGGATCAAGTTACGTAACTATAAATTACAGCATGTACTTGCAGTTAAGAAACACGTATTGTTCTCTGCCGTTTCTATTCAATATTTTCGTTAATGACTGGGATAAGGGTGTGGAGCACACTCTTACAACATTTGAAGGCGACGCCAAGCTGGAAGGGGTTGCAAGAACTTTGAAGACAGGATTAGAATTCAAAACAACCTTGACAAATTGGAGAATCGGTCTGAAATCAACAAGACAAAATTCAGTAAAGACAAGTACAAAGCACTCTACTTCGGAAGGAAAAATCAAACGCACAACTACAAAAAGGAGAATAACTGGTGAGGCAGTAGTACGGCTGAAAAGGATCTGGGGTCAGTAGATCACAAATTGAATATGCCTCAGCAGTGTGATGCAGTTGTGAAAAAGATTAATGTCATTCTGGGGTTTATTAATAGGAGTGTCATACGTAAGACACAAGAGATAATTGTCCTGCTCTTCTTGGCACTAATGAGGCCTCAGCTGGGGTACTAAGTCCAGTTATGGGTGCTACACTTTAAGGAAGATGTGGACAAATTGGAGAAGCACAAAGGAGAGCAACAAAAATGCTAAAGGGTTAGAAAACCTGACCTCTGAGGAAAGGTTAAAAAAAATGGGCATGTTTAGTCTTGAGAAAAGAAGACTGACAGTCTTCAAATATGTTAAGGGCTGTTATCAAGAGAATGGTGATCAATTGTTCTCCTTGTCCCCGGAATGTACGACAAGAACTAATGGGCTTAAACTGCAGCAAGGGAGGTTTAGGTTAGATATTAGGAAAAACTTTCTAAGTCTAAGAATAGTTAAGGGCTGAAATAACGGAGGTTGTGGAATCCCCGTCATGGGAGGTTTTTAAGAACTGGTTAGACAAGCACCTGTCAGGGATGGTGTAGGTGTACTTGGTCCTGCCCCAGTG